TCGTGCATCTGTTTGCTGCTCGTAACTAAAGCGTAATTATATCTTAAATGATAATCGAGCCGTGAACATGTCACGAAGTAGCTATTTTCAAAAGCCATGTCCTCGCGACGCACAAGCAGCAGAAGACGATCTCCCGGAGCGAGCATCGGGCCAATGGCGAGGCGAGCTGAGGCAACATGGCGGCCACAGCCAATCAAGGGCCTCAAAACGACCTTCAAACATTTGCTTTTTGTGCGCTTGTTGTTAAAGGGAGGAGCCATCTGAGGCGGGAAAGTTAAACACGGAGAAATGCTCTTTCCGATGAGCCCAAGAAGCCGGCTCCCGGCCCAAGCATCGCGAAGCTATAATTTTTTTTAAATCGCTGTTTTCTCGCCATTTCCAGAATAAGTTTTGCTACCTAGGTGGGTGAAAAGAATTTTCTGAAGCACTTCCGCGCGGTTTTCAGTGTAGATATTTCGGAACCTGATAGAAAAAGGGTTCCAAAAACTGAAAACTTGAGTTTCAAAAAATCTATTTTTTTGCCATTTTTCGCGATCCCAAAGCCGCGTGCCTCCTTAACGACGGACTGCAGAGCACCCCAAACTGGAAACCCTACTCGCCGAATTCATTCGGGAGCTGTGTGCAAGGTCACCACCCGTAACAGCGGAGTGTATTTGCAATGAGATAGCGCGCGACTCTGAGCTCACGAGGGTGCAAATCAAGGGATCGCCATCGTGGTTGCACCGACTTAGGAAGCGGAAGGGCTTTGCGCTGAGGCGGCGTACTTCCGTGTTTCCACAAATGCTGCATCAGTAACGTATTGGATGGAATGAAGGACGATGCACTCTGGGACATTACTAGTGAAAAATAGACGTCAGACTCGCGTTCGGTCGAGTCTGAGTAACAGCACTTTGTGGCCTTCTGGCGTTCAACTACATAAGATTAGTGTCCAAATAAAAAGAAATGTCACCACAATGCAGCTAGTTGTGTAGAAAAAATATTTACCAAGGTAAGGGTGCGCCACAATAATTTGCAATTTTTAAAAATTTCTTTTTCAGAGATTCAATGTTTGGTGGTTTGACCTACACTCCAGTCCGACCTATATTATTCCATTTTTTACAGTACATGCAGCTTTTTACAGTAGTTCTGTTGACTACCACAAGGCCATCCAAGTGCTAAGGGTGGGTCTGGTTCTGGTAGATGCAAAAAATAAATGCTGGACACTCACCAAGGATTCCTTGGGCCTTAAGGGGGGACGCGGGTCTTAGAATGGTCAAAAATGACCAAAAAATCGTTTTTGAGAAAACCGCATTTTTCGAATGCTTGCACCAATAAGCACCTGCCATGAAAGTTTCAACAGTGAATTCGATCGGGAAATATAATAAAATCGCATTTCAAAACGGCGCGGTAGTCGCGAAACGCTCCGCAACACGGAATATTTGGTCAAACCTCCCGCGCGCACCGACGACGAAGCAGGGAGCCGATCGCCGCCATCTTGGTCTTGTTTTGAAGCTGATTTCTTTGTGCTCATTTTGCGGCCCCTCAATATGGCGTCGCCTCAAGAGAACGACAGCTGTCGCCTCTTTTCTAAAAGCCACTTCCGTACCGCCGATTGGCTAAAGCGCGCGCTCGCAAGTCGAGCCCCCTGTCTCGCGCTTCCCATTGGCTGGCGCGGCCAAGGCCACCCGCCGTTTTTTTTTTTTTTTTTCTTGCTCCGCCGGTCCGCCGCAGCGGTTGCTGTTGCGCGCGCGTGTGGCGTTCTGCCTTTCGTTTCAACGCTATGGCCGATGTGAGCGGAGACCCTCGGCTAAAAAAGAAGACTCGTCAAGCGTACGGCAAGAAAAAACGGCGTGCGTGGAACGCGCAACGGAAGGAAGGCGACGATATCGTGCTGCCAAGAGCTCCTGATGCGGCCGAGGGAGTTCTTTCTGACGACGGCACGCTGCCGCAACTACCTGTTGTAGCCGAAGCGGTGCCAGCGGTGGTGCTCTCGCCTGGCCCTAGCTGCAGCATTTTCTCGAGTGATCGCATTATCGGGTCACCTGGTACTTCAAGCAATATTCAAGACCGTGTCGACACGATGTTCTTCAGTGCGGAGGAGACAGCCGAGCGCGCTAGAAATGCGGGTGATTTGAAGGAGACCTTGCCATCACAGTGCGCGACGGAACAAAAGTTCAAGCTACTCGACGTTGAACTGGAGGACAACGGCAAAGAAAACGGCACGGAATTCTCAATCGTCGACATAGCCGTGATAAACTCGTTGTTTGGGCTCGTCGTGTGCCCCGAGTGTGGCGCGAAAAGCATGACTTTTTCGAGGGGAAAAAAGACTACGGCCTGTGCTCAAAGCTTGTGCTCTCAAGCAGTGACTGCGACTTCCGCGAGGACCGTTTTTCGTCCCCAAGAGTAGCCGGCGACAGTGAGGCCAAGATTAGGCCTTTTGAAGTCAATTTGCGTGCAATGAAGGCCATCAGCAGCATCGGTAAGGGGGCAACAGCTCTCTCGGACTTTTTTGCTGCCATGAATGTATCTCATCGAGGCCTGCACCACAAAACCTTCCAAAGCCACATGAAAACAATGCAGAAAGCCTGCAGTGCCACTGCCACCGAGTGTGAAGGTGCTAGTGTTGCTTGCATCAAGGACTTGTATGCGGAGTTGGGCAACGCACCCGGGAACATCGACGTGATTTATGATGGCACCTGGTTGACCCATGGGCACACTTCACACATATGTGTCGGGTGCATCATCGAGATGTATACAGGTTTAGTGATAGACCATGTTGTCTTGTCAAACTTTTGTTTGGGGGTGCACCTTGGGACTTAAAGAAAATGACGAAGGATACCCTGCCTGGCTTATTGATCATGCACCTGTGTGCCAAAGAAATATTGATTGCAAGGCTGGTCAAATGGAAGTGGAAGCAGCCCTTCTATTATTCCAGCGGTCACTCGAAAAGCATAAGCTTCGATATACGACAATGCTTTCAGATGGGGACAGCAAAACCTACCACGCCTTCACAACAAATGAAGTCTACGGCAACATCAAGGTGGCAAAAAAAGACTGCATAAACCATGTGCATAAATGAATGTTTGCAGCCTTGCGTACCCTCAGCAACAAAAAAAAAAGCTCAAGGTCAGCAACTTGGTGGTAAGGGCAGGCTGACTCAGGATAAAATCAAGAAGATTGCCTCCTACTATGGTTATGCCTTGCGCAGTCACAAGCATGATGTGCCAGGGATGCAGAAGGCTGTGCTGGCCACGCTGAAGCACATGTCATCCACTGACCAGACACCCAGGCATGAGCTTTGTCCTGAAGGCCCTGTGTCATGGTGCAAATTCAACAGGGCTGAGGCCAACAATGAGGAGCTGCCGCCGCACGACCATAGCTTGCCCGACTTTGTGTGCGAGGCACTGGAGCCCGTGTTCACGCGCCTTAGTGAGACAGCCCTTCTGGAAAGGTGCAGCGACGGCCTCACGCAGAACCCCAGTGAAAGCTTGCACTCTGTGATTTGGCAGCAGGTTTCGAAAACGCAGTACGCCTCATTGCGCAGCGTCGAAAGGGCAGTGGCTGAAGCTGTCAGCCGCTTCAACCAAGGTGTCACGAGGAGCAATGCGGGAATTGCGAAAAAACTAGGGTACAGCCCTGGAGATCGCTCGGTGCTCCGCAGCCTTGAAAAAGACAACATCAGGCTGGAGAAGTCTAAGAAAAAGCACACTGACAGCTGTTAAACAAAAACCCGCCTTGCAAAGCGACACAAACCAGCAAGAGACTCGGCCTACAGTCCTGGTACGCTGTAGGGCAGTTTCAGTGGACAGCAGTGGCAATTTTCCGACAAAAATTGCATTTTGGACTGGAACATTGTGCGTAGATATGCTGTCTATGGAAGAGCCACTTGATTATACTATTCAAGTGTTTGCTACCATGCTGTTCAAGTGCTATTTTGCTTGCTGTGTACTGAAACAGACACACAGCGTTGTAAATACAGTTTCTCATGCCGTTTCGGTGGCCACTGAACTATTATTTTGAGAGTCTGCAGTCACACATTTAGTACGGCCATGTTCACAAAACACAGAGCTACGAAACAGTACCATTTGTATTGTGGTAAGTTAATTTCAAGAAAAGCTACTTTGGGTTGAAACTTCAAATGCGTTTTTCTCAGTTCGATGTTTTTGCACACCGTACTCAGCCTTACGGATGTTTTTTCTGTGTTATATTTGAGCGAAAATGGCAAATGTGGTATCATTTTATTCGTATTGAAATGATCTGGGGGGTGATGCTATTTTCATCACTCGTGCACTCCCATAAAATTTACAGTTAGGTGTAGCAGCGGCTGCTAATTGGAAAAAAATGTTCATAGTAATTTCATGATCCTTTTTTTTTTATGTAAAATGCTTCTGAATGAATAAAAATAGCATCACTCCCTACAGTAGATCTTTAGCAACAGTGTCATGCATTCAGATTTTGGTTTAGCAAGACTAAATTTTCATAAAGCCCCGTAACGAGAATGAAACTAATTTGATTTCAGACATCAGTATTTTATGAACTATTGCAGCTATCAAAAAACTAATTACAGATTTGAAATCAGCGTAAAAAACTGCTCAAGACTGCCCATTTTCATCTAGCTGGCACTAAAAATAAGAAAAGTTGTCTAAAGACCCACCTCCCCCCTTAAACTAACTAAATGAATTTTTCTGAGGCAGAGCTATGGGCAAAGTGTTTGCGTGATTATTTAGCAGCACTTTTCCCAATTTTTAATTGCATGTTCTATTACAAGTTTCCTGCCTACTGCATGTCTTTGTTTTGTTTTTTTTTTTGTTTTTTGTTTTTTCTCTTTACACAGCCTTGTGAAAAACATTGCAGGGGTTCTTCTGTGATAAACAGATTTGTAGAACCCAATGATGAATGGGAAAAAAAGTGTGACCTTATGAAAGTGGAATTTTTTTTTTTCTCTCCGTTTAAATGCTACGGAAGGAGTGTATAAATTCAACCTTATCGGGTCAAGAGAGAAGACTATTCAAGTGACAAACCTAAGTTTGTTCGGGAGCCGTCCTTCCGAATGGCCACGACGGGAATGCGAGATTCAGCGTCTCCCAGATCGAGTAGGGTACCTGCAATATCACAAAAATTTTAGCTGCTAAACAACTCGAAAAATTTCATTCATTTAGAACACATACTGAAACAGCACAGTGTCAGCTAACATTGAAAGAGTAGTGAAATAAATTCGGTATTGCATTGCTTTTTAGTAGCACAGCATGTCTGTGTGAGTTTTCAGGGGCACACTCTAGCAGCTCAGCTCCCTGTGTTCAATTCAATGCTGGTTAAAAATGCCAATGGCATTTCCAAGTTGTGTACCAAGGAATATTTGTTTGTTTTTTAGGGGGAGGGGGTTGTGGGGGTGGCACTCTGTTGACCACGAAGGCGATTGCACTGTGAGCAGGAGTGACTCGTCGTTTGATGGTGACTGGGCTACTGTAAACAAATTTTGAAAAAAGAGCAAAGAGCATGCCTAGTACCTAAAACCGCAACATTTCACCCCTTCTTGCACATTAGGCCCCAATTGGAAAAATGCACTCTCAACGACACCAGGCTGAGTGGACATGATATAGAGGCACACAATCACAGTGGGGTGCTAGTTTCCGATATTCTGTGGGTGTTTTCAAGCGAGGTCAAGACTGTTTATAATTAACGCTTGTAACTACATAACATTAGGAGATTTACAATGCGGTGTCAAGATTAATAGACACAGATCTACCCATTAGGGTATAAAAATCCTTAGCAAAATATAAGGTGCCACGAGTCCTTAACAATGGAGTTTTCACAGCACTCGACTATCGATAAAAGCTGGTTTGACTGTACATACATGGACACGCCCATTTCACTTATAATCTTGGGGACAAAAAAGATTTTGTGCTACACAGCACTGTTGTTTTAAGTTATTTGGACAATAATATGCAATATTTCTGCAAAGCTAGAGCCACAACAGTCCAGCGACGAATGCAAGATCCTTTTTCTATAAAATATCAGGATTGCACACTCATCCCTGCCCACTACCACACACAAATTTTCAGAGCCGTTTCCCATTTTACCGAGATCATCTCTGTTCCTGTGCGCTTGACCTCCCCGGTCCACGTAGACAAGGACCGAGATGGTTGAATAACACAGGTTTGCTTTAGCTGCCCATGTGGGGATCACCGCCAGAGGAGTAAGGGCCGGTCATCCCGAAGCTAGAGACAGCATCGCGTCAACAGCTACAACATCCACACTAAAGCAACAGGCAAACAAACATAAATAATATATTGACTACATTATATATGACAATAATATATATGACCATAACAAATATGACGGTATACAATAAATATGATCGCATTAAGATCTACATCAAGACCATGTGCTTAGTTTAAATATTGCAGCCCCCCAGAAGTTACTCTTAAACCTACAGCAATGCCCTACAACTATATATTCTTTGTACCTGTGTCACACGGGCACGCAAAAAGTCTTTTAAGTAAGCGGTCTTTTACGAAGTTGAAAGACTTTTAACAAAGAGGCGTTTGACACGGCAGCAACGATCTCCTTTTAGTGTTTTCGTTCGAAGACGCTAGCGAAAGCGTGGCCCCAGCAGTTAAAAGAGAAGCAATGAAAATTAAACGATGATTCACGATGTACAAATTAAAGACTTGTTGCACTGCTCGTTTCTTCAAATAAATTTAAAAATAAGAGATGAAGAAACACCAATGTGCATTTTTTTTGCACTAGAGAAGGAAGCATTCCCATAACTAGCGACGTGCACAAGTCCGTCTTGCACCACTGGGCTTTTATTTACCGTATTTGTTTTTTGCTGCTCTCGACTGCTCTCGTCACGTTATGGGTGACCGTACGGGAGAAAAAGCGAGGATCGCAAGCCTCACGGCCTGCCTTCTCGCTCTGGAAAGCGAGGCAGACGCTGCAAAAGCCGCCAAGGAGAGGATAACGTGTCTGCTTTTGACCATTGCAGACGCTGCCTTTTCCGTGGGGCGCCGGCTGCTTGATCTGCGGAGTTGGCCATAGACGCTCGGACTCGGACCACATGAATGACGAGCAAACACACGACTGCCACACTTTCCTCGCTTGTGCAAAATGGCGCGGCGTGAGACCGAGCGTCACCACGTGATATTGCCGACGCGTTGTAGCTGCTTACGAGAGTAGAAAAAAAAAAATAACCATTAAAAGAGTTCATTACACCTTCTGCAGGATATGAAATTTGTTTTTACAAAGAGTTTTAGTGACAGAAAAATAAGCGTTCGCTCTTTTTTTCCCACCACTCGAAAATTGCTGGCGCCCACTGGTTTCGAGGCTACTCATTCAGAGCCGTAAAAGAGATTGACGAACTCCGCTTACGAAAAAGACCGCTTCTGAAAAGGAGTTCGCTCTGTGCCGTGTGTCTGCTGTCAAGAACTCCTTTTCGAAAAAAGACCGCTTACTTAAAAGACATTTAAGTGCCCGTGTGACAGGGGTATTACCAGGCTTTTCAGTGCACTTGCACAAAGACCATGAATGCTACACTGCACAAAGTACATGTAGAATAACAAAACCAGTGCAAAAATAGGCCTGCAGACAGCAAAAATACACACACACACGTACACACAAGTCACAGACAATTGAAAGAAGTGGTATCAAGTGAACTTGCTTTTCATGTCTCGCTGTGGTTAAGATGTGGAGCACAGTACTCACAGGTTAGAAGAGGACAATTAAGGGCTACGCAACACACATTTTTATTTGTTTATTTATTTACTTATTTACAATACTGCCAATCTCATGTCTAGACCATAGAATGTGAGCATATCGTTCACGTAAACACAAGTTTCATAATAGAAGTGACTTGAAATAAATACAGCCCTTTTTCTTTGTACAGATACAACAAACCAATGTAACAAACTGAAATACACTGAAATTGAAATCTAGAACACTGAAATATGAATAAAATATGCAACAAACTACGACAAACACATAGACAATAAGAATTAAGTTTGGTTCAGAAATTTGAAAGTTCAACAAACCTCAGTACCAAGAAGTTGCTTCAAATAATAGAAATTGCAAAACATCATTGTACAAAGGCTTTTTACTAAGTGCTTATAGCATCTTCGAATAACTTAGCCAGAATGTACTGCTTTCATTTCCACCATATACAGCTCCGATCCTATTAGTGTAAATTTCATCTCATATGCATAGATCATAGCCAACGTTATCTTTAGAGACCAGATTCATTGCAACATGACGTGTTTATCCACTGCAATTGCACATTTGATGACCCATTTGAATCCGTGCATGCTGTGCATAATGCTCCTTTCTCATTTCAGTAATTGAGATGCGGCTTATCAAGTCCATGTCTACCTGGCTTGGGGTTCTGCGATCTCTGTCTGTTCAGTTCGCCCTCCGACACCTTCTGGGACGACACCGCATCGCGCAGTAGTGGGTCCCACAGGGCAGAGTCACTTGCCTGAGGAACCAGGGGCAGCTCAGTGTGTTTGTCTGGTGGGCCTGCATAATCAAGCTGATTTATTACAACTACCACTAAACTGTGTAAAAATGTATCATGCAAGTTGACTCAATAACGAAACATGGCCAAGTCCAACAAGTCATGTTTCACTAACCACTCAAAGGTGCATGACAGATACACCGTATTTACACGCGTAATCCTTGCACACGCATATTTTTAGGGGCGAAGCTCCTTAGGGCGTGGGCTGTGCGTCCCCTGTAGCCTGTATGTAGCCACCTCTAGTTTAGTTCTTGCAGTGTTCACTAGATGGCGGTACCGTCCCCTGTATGTAGCCACCTCTAGTTTAGTTCTTGCAGTGTTCACTAGATGGCGGTACCGTCTCCTGTATGTAGCCACCTCTCGTTTAGTTCTTGTAGTGTTTACTAGATGGTGGTACTTGTAGCTGATGATGAAAAGATGCAAGATGTTATGAACTAGAAAGCGGTACTTGTAGTTGATGAAAGACGCGAGATCTTATAAAATAGGAATGATGTCACATATGGCGAGTGTCATTGGTTGAAGGCAATCGTTCGATTTAGTGCGGCGACATACGCTAGGGGGAGCGATGTAATAAAATCGAGTGGGCAAAATGTACAGAGGATTCATGGTTTACCAGGTTTACCTCCGGAGCTTCGCCCACTCATCATCATTCACTTCGTGGATATGGCGGAATTTTTTTACAGTGCCCAGCAAAAATAAGATATTTTTATTGGAGCGAGTAATTATCGCATCTCCAAAAATTGCTGCAGTAATGTGGTCTGCTTCTTCTAACCACTGATGACAATAGTAGCGCACGACAGCCTGGCGCCATCTCCTAAACATCATAGGCATTATCAACGCGCAAGCCCAAATTTAATTCAAGCCAAGCCAAAGTGGCAAGTGCGTGTTGTGGCATGTTCGCGTACGTTATGGCCATTCTGTGGTTATTCTATGGGGGCAATACGGCAGTCACACGGCTGCTCTCAAGTTAAATGTGATTGATCATGCACTAAACGACTGCAACAGGACCGCCGGTAGGCACTTCGTAGTCGACGAGTTTTGCGTTTGCTACTGGCAGTGGTGATCCAGCCACTTCAACTTTTGGAGCAATTTTTGGAGCAGAGAAAATGCTCTTTTGGAGCACCTTTGTATCGGCACTCGATTTTGGAGCAGCAATTGTAGCAGCAACTTATTTTACAAAAATACATCTCTCATTATTGCTGAAACTAAAGCTGTGATAGCAACCACAGTTCTATAAAACCGTATTTGTCTCAATCCTCAATTATTAATTAGAGTTGTCACGTGCATGCCGATTTTAAAAGCCACCAAGAAATGGACCAGTCCATCAGATTTAATGCACTACTGAAAATGAAGGTAGTGCAGGTGTAGCATTAGTTTATTAAAGTACACTAAAAGCTATGACGAAAATTCCCAGAAACCGAACTGTAAGGAGAGTTTTGAACTTTCATTTATTTACAGAAGAAAGATGTGCATGTTGCAGCATTTACGTCCTCTTGCTCACCTTCTTGCTTAGTTCTTCCAGCTGTGAGAGGGTTTGGCTCAAAGCGGAGTTGCCTTCAGCTAATAAAGTTTGCCCAGCTTCAACTTGTTCCAGGCTCTTAGAACGCAGACCAGAAGAAATGATGTCTTCTGCTCGTTTCAGCAATGCCCTACTTGAGGTGACCTTTTCTTCCAAGTTCTTACGAAGTCGCTTTTCGTCGACATCAGCACCAGTGTCTTGGTCTCCAAGCCTTTTCCTGCTTTCTGACTGCTGTGCACTTGCAGTTCTCTCTGTGTATCGGGCTCTAGATCTCCTTACACTTTGCAGAAGCTCTGTAGACAAGGGAACTTTAATGCCATCTCCATCATACCTGCGGAGGTATGTCTTTGTCTGGCGCAACCCGTTAATGCTTGCAATGCATAATGAGTAGCGGTTCTCATAAAAGCGCTTATTTTCGCTAAATCCTCGTTCGCAGTCTGCGTTGCCATGTGGCAGGCACAGCAGACACTTGACAAGCCTCGACAATAATGGATACTTTGGTTGACCTCCAGGAGACTTCAGTTCAAATATTTTGCCCCAACGAACATCAATTCTTTCACCTCCAAGTGCCAGGAGGTCACTGTTGGAGTCACACTTTAACATATGCCACTCATCAATGGCTGAGGAAACTTCTTCATGTTTGATTACCTGTGGAAGCTGAGACACAAGGTACTTCAGTGCTCGCACTTCCGATTCAACATTTGTTGACTGCCAATTGAGGAGGCTAGCAGATTGAAGAACTCTATTGTCGAGTGGAAGCTTCTGAAGAAGATCCTTGGCACAGGCCAAGTAAAAAGCACGTGCTCCAAGATAAAACCGCTTCTTCTCACTAGAGTCCCACTCAAGCATTGATTTTTCAGTATCTGTACCAACTTCCGGCCTCGATTTCCAAAGGGATGCATCCATCACATCTAGCCTTTTCAGTTGTTCAGCGCTCTTGTCTGCAAAGGCTTCATGACGAAGAAACCGACTGAGGACTCGTTGGACTAGAACAATAAGTTCAACGTGAAGTATGTGCAAGAGCGGCTCTTGCTTTTGGAAGAGCAGCTGAAATCCACTGAAAAGCTGCGCACAGTTCTTAAGGAACAACACTTTGGCCAAAAGTTGTTTCTCAGAAAATGCCGACACAAGCTTGCTGTGTAGGCTTTGGGTGTCAGGTCGTTGACAAGATGAATTGCCCTTAAAAAAATAGGTGCGAAGCGCTTCAAACTGTTCCTCAACTCGGCAAAGTGAGTCTTGTAGCGTCAGCCAGCGATTAGAAACGTGGCGCAGAAATACATGACAAGAGATTCCCAAAGTATCCTGGCATTCTCTGAGTGCTTCAGCGCGGACAGCACCTTTGAAGTAGTAGTAAATATTTCTCACTACTTCTTCTACATCTAAGCCAAATGCATCCAGGCCTCTGCCAAATGCATTATGAACCTTATGAAGATTGCAGTTGCCAATATCTCAATCAAACTTGGTGCCACATGCTTCTGAAGCTTGTTTCTTACGCTCTTCATAACATTAGGGCCATCACTGAAAAAGCAAACAAGTCATTGCTTTGGAAGATCTGCTATTGCTTCTTCTATGCAGCCAACAATTATTTCAGCGGTTGCACGCCCAAGATCAAATGACTGGACATGTTGAACAACAACTTCCTGTTGGCTGCTGGAAAAATAGCGTACCAGCACATCTAGTTGCTGCACCCTTAGCTCTGGCTTTGGCGTCTCATCAATCATAATGGAAAAATAGACATTTGGCTGGCACAGCTCAGTCACCACTTGTCCTTTAAAGCAGGGACCCAGTCCATCCGATACAATGCGGGCCAACTTTATTCTGCCGCAACTAAACTTTTTGGCAATGTCACTGTCGGGGAACATGCAGTGATAAATCGAAGTTGCCGTGTCTCCCCATGAAAAAGGAATTCCCTTGGCCACAACAGACAAAGCAAAAGTACTTTCTGCCTTGCTGACTTGGTGCTCAAGTGATGTATTAGCAGACCCGTTGGAGAAGTCCAGTGTGCCTTGCGCCAATTTGGGTGGAAGAAGATTCCCGTCCTTGTCTCTGTGTCTAGCAGCTGCATCAATATGTTTCTTCATCCCAGCATGACGCTTCACTGCTGCCGCTCCATGGTGTGCGCAAGAAATGGTGCAGTTGCAAAGAATACAAAATGCATCTGTATTTCGGGTTCCACTCTTGCACCACCGACTGATCGGATCATTATTGGAGTCCAACTCGTTGAGTACAGAGGCGTTGAACTTGGTGTTGCGATCTGAAAACATGAGCGAAACGAACTTTATGACAGTAAACTTTCCCAAGTTTTTTTTCAGAGCGTGAATATAGGTAAAAGCAACAGGGTAGACAGAAAGAGCACTGACTTCTAACTTTATTTCACAGAGTGGCAAGAATATATATGCCCAAAAAAGGATGATTAAAAACATGACAAAATACAAGCCTAGTCAATGCGTCAGTATAAAAAACTTGCAAATGTGACTACGCACCAGCTAGCCCAAGGTTCCGCTCTTGTAAATTTTCCCGCGACAAAGGCACACTAGTAAAAAGAGCACGTAACTACTAGATTTATTTTTAGGGTAGCCCATAACATAATGCCAACCTTACTTCATTGGAAGATCTAAATACCAACTCTAAGGCGCCAACACCAAATATTTGCGCAAGCATTTTGGGTACAGCCTCGACAAATGGCGCGAATCGGGATGCCAGTTTGTCTGTCGACCATTCACACCTAAAACTCGCGACCAACTTACAGGAAGTTGCCATGCGGATGACGCGTGGGTCTGACGGCCGCAGACAAACGCATTGCCCCAGCTGGCAAGGCGGCATAAGGCGCTAATGTATGTTGGAGGTTTGCATCCTTCCGGCGCGGCGCGCGATGACCAGAGCAGAAATCGACAGCAATGTTTTCCTTAAATTAAATATTTTAAGAAGCTGATTGGGAACGGCACGTCACGAATAGCGGATTCCCAACGATCGGTGGCCGCTAATGCGGTAACATTACGGTGCTTATTGACTTGCTTGTGTTGACATGGTCGACGCTCAATCACTCTTTTCCGACTATTCTACAAGCAGCTCGCACGGTGGGGCGCCCGATCCGTGACGCGCCGGCAGCACATACGGCCCATCTAGCGATCTGCTAACGTGAACAAAAGCGACCCGCCTGCAGAAATTCGTAGTGTATTCCGCGTCACTCGCTCGTTCGTTTCGCACTATTATATGTTCCGAACGGTAGCATGTAGGAGGTGTAACTGCTGCATGCCGTACTAGCGATTGCGCGTTTCAAATGCGGATATTCCGCACCACGAAACAAGGCACGGCGCACCTTCCTAAGCCTACGTACAGCGCTCGGACACTCCGAACACGAAAACCATCAGTAGCGAGAAATCGGAAGAACTATAGGCAAGTTGCAACTTCTGTACTGATTCAATAGCAAAGTGCGGCCGGTAATAAATGCCAGCAGCACTACGCGATCGCCTAAGCATTCACTAAAGTATTTCACGGGCGCTATTAAGAAATGCCACAAAATTTAAAAAGAAAGCGACTTACTTTTGTCCATTTCAACAGCGGGGGGATGACAAACATTCGCTGACTGGTTGTTCACAAGCACATGGCGCACATGCAACGACACGACGTGCTGTGCATGAGCGCGAAAACCTACAGAAAACGCCCGAACAACACCGACGAATACCAAAGCTGCAAAGCACATGGTAAACGATTGCCAACCTAGAAAAGAATTCACTTGTTGCCAACTGCAAAATGAACATCCGCTAAAGTCGGGTTCTTTCGTGCAATTTAGCGCATTTGGCGCAAACAAAACAACGCTTGCGCAGTAAGGCGCAGGAAGGTATAATTGTAGCAAATTGGCGCAAATGGCGCAGCTGGATCACTACTGTACTGGCAACGGCAGTGTGAGCACCTAAAAGCCACAAAGATGTGTTGGGCTTTCCGTGTGCGCAAGACTGGGATGAATGGTAAAACTTTACTTCATTAAAAGGCAACTGCGTATGATTTCGTATTACATAGGCCATCAGCTCATGGTTGACGTCATATGCTAATTTTTTGCGGGCTCCTGTTGAGTGATGAATGCTAACGCTATGCACGCAACGCCCGAAAGCTTTGGCTACAGCATTTCTGTACTGTTTGTTTTGCAGCTTTTGTCTCTCAAATAAATCTGGCCATGTGTTGAGCCTGTAGTTTTGTGTAAAGGTAAGGCTTTATCAGCACTTCTTGCTTGCAGCTAGTTGCCTGCGTGAGAATCCCCATTCACGGCCACTTCGTTTTCTTTTTCGCTCTGAGCGTTTACTGCGGGTAATTTTCCCCATAAAATTCTCGCACCCGCAATCTTTTCATACATGTTCTGCAAAAAAAAAAAGGTGCAATGATTGTGCGAGTATATACGGTACATGCAGTGAATACAATACAAATTAAAATCTCAGAACAAGATAACAGCATTCACAGGCACAAAATAAAAATTCTCGATATAGATCCTTTCAATTCTGCAAGAGTTGCCAGAAATAGCTCTTCACAAGCACTTTCTTTCAGACTGGAACCATAGCAACAATGTCATGGTTGGCCCGGTTTTTAGTTCCATGAGGTAAGCCAAACCTCTTTCGAACTACAGCCCATCCTACAATTCAGTGGTTCTACAATTCATTGGTCGCCCGTGGGGTCGCTTGTAGCAATCGGCGCAAAGTTCGTCTGCTCTACGCGCTGACGGGCCGCTTACTGCATTTGTTTTCAACTCGTCGCGGCGTGGTTTCGTGCGGTCGCTTGTAGCAATCGGCGCAAAGGTCGTCTGCTCTACGCGCTGACGGGCCGCTTACTGCATTTGTTTTCAACTCGTCGCGGCGTGGTTTCGAGATCGCATCGCGCTGCGATAAGACTGGCGCTCGTGAAAGGAGAAAAACGTTGTTATTCAGTTTGGCGCATTGCAGTTTTGAGATAGGTTCCCGCATGCGATCATGGACCGGCGATCGTTCAAGAAGAAACGCAAGACTGCGCAGCGATTTGGTGCTCGTAAGCCGAAGCCGCCGATCTTGAAAAAGAAATTCAGTCCGGCAACTTCTGCGAGCAGCGACGACGGCGTGCGGCACGACGAGGACTCGCAGCCGAGCACAAGCACGCACAGAGCATCGTCCGCGAGCATCAACGAAACTGTTCATATGCCTGTGGAGCAGTGCTTTGTGCTGTCTGAGGAAACATCCATTCGTCGTTCCGCACAGACTGCAGACATTGTGGATGCCCAGCCTAGCACTTCGCACGAGGATGTATTCATCGCGGATGCCCAGCCTAGCACTTCGCACGAGGATGTAGACATCGCGGATGCCCAGCCTAGCACTTCGCACGAGGATGCGAGGACGTCTACCAGCACCACCAGTAGCACGATTCGGGCCCGATTAGAGCCTCGTTTCGTGTCAGCGGAGGCATCTCGCGAACGCGCCGCGGCTGTTCAGGAGTCCCTAAGAGCAGTGTCTGCGACGGAGCGCAAGATGTCACTGATGGACCAAGGGGACGAGAGCGACATCTAAATGGAAGACGAAGATGAGTTTTTCCTCGTGCAACGCGCGGCCCTGAATGGTCTGTTTGGCAGTGCCCTGTGCCCGCAGTGCAAAGAGCCGGGACTCAAGATGAAGCACGGAACTAAGCACAGGTTAGCGGTAAAGGTAGTGCTCACCTGCACTGCTTGCGGCGCGGACGCGAAAAATGCGTGGTCGTCGCCGCGAATGGAAAACAGTAAGTCATTTGAAGTAAATATTCGGGCCATGCAAGCTATAAAAACTATTGGAAAGGGATCAGCTGCACTCAGTGATTTTTGGTCTGTGATGAATGTATCACATAGGGGAATTCAGCACAAGACTTTTCAAAGGCATCTCAAGGGGGAATTTCGGCCTGCTGGCGCAGCAGCCGCGGCACGTGTGTTTTGCGACGCTGTTGCAGCCGTTCGCAATGTGTACAGCCAAATGGAGGGAACACCCACCAAGAATGTCACGGTGGTGTACGACGGGACGTGGATGACACCGCACTGCAAAGGACACTAAGGACTACAACCCTGGTGCCTATTAGGCATGTAAACCGTGACTCATGACTTTGAACCTCGTTTTCTCAATACTGTTTTTTTGGCATGTTGCTCAGCTCGTGGAGCAGATATCTTCGCAACTACTTGACAGACTTTGATTCTGTTTTTTTTTTGTAATGCTCCTTGAACTGTGCTTCAGGGGGCTACGTTCTTATTTTTAAAATTTAGCCTTTTAAAAATTTTTGGTAGGGTTTCTTGTTTGTAGTGCAAATGTGCTCATTGAAGTATCAGTGGAGAAAACATGAACTACAAATTTTAGTGTTGCAAAAAAATTATTTTGAAAACGCAGCCCCCTACAGCATACATTCACCTCTGCACACAGTGTTTACCAACTTTCTATGTAATTTTTTAAACTCTCCAGCCACTCCACAAGGTCCAGTAATGAAATTATTTGTTTCTCAGAAAGTTTTCATGATATCATCTTGAAATTTTTGTGGAAGCATTATGAGGTCATTCTTAGTCTCTGTGCCAATTTTCATCAAGATCTAACCAGAAACAAGAAAGTTCGTTCCGAAAGGCACGTCCCCCCTTAATGTTTTTCATAACAATAAAAGGCACCTGTTTCAAATTCCGGTTGCGTTAATTCACCTATGTAACCCCCTCCCTCCCCTCTGCTGCAAGGGGTCCCCCATCACTTTCACCAGTCCGCAAGGGGTCCCTGACACATCCATGGCTGAAAACCACTGCTATAACTGAAGGTAGCCAAAGATGCCGTTTGTGTCATGCGTGCAATCGGCTTCACTGGAATCATATTATCAGAATGCTACTGATCATGCCTTTGTACATCAAATAAATCAGGCCTTCAAGCCATGAGTAGCCCAGGTGATCTACATTCGAGGAACTTAGAGAAAAATGTAAATTGGAGGAAAAGAATTCAAAAAAGGAAAGAAACTGGAGAGAACTAGAGGCATCAGAAGAAAAGCCTTGAGGTCATGCTTTACACACGAAACTTTTTACTTTAGCTTAAAAGGGCACTGACACAAAAATTGCAGCTTCACGAGTGTTTTTTTTTCTGCAATCAGCTGCTGGTGGCCTGTTAGTTAACAGCACACCGTTTACTGCAGCGTGCGACAGATAGTTAAATACAGGCTACTCATTATTAGCCTGTCTCGGTATTGATTTGAGAGAGCTCCAAAAAATGACAATCCTCCAAGTGCAACTATAAACTACCAGAGTGTGTAATTTTCAACCACATGTCAGCACACAGAACTGTGACGCACTTCCACACAGTCGGCATCGAGAAGACCTTTCAAACAGGAAACGGGAATGCAATGATACCGAACGCAAAACATTTAATGCTTGTGCCATGGCCGCAGACCCTCAAGCAGCTGCTGAGTCTTTCTGCTGCTGCAAACGTGGCAAAATAGGAACGGTGGCTGTGACGTCATCTTAACGTGTTGCAACATGGCCACATGAGGGAAGTAAGGGGGTCACCAAGGGTCACTTTTACGAGTGTCAACAGAGGAAGGGAATCGACCGCTCATGCAAACTTAAAAATTAACTTTTAAGTACCTTCCAAGCTATATTTGCTACTGGCATTTCATATATGATGTTCACAGAAACACATGTTCATTTCACACGTGATCATTTCACAACATTTCACATGTTCACAGAAACAATCCGGCAAGCTATCTCGGCCAAAAAATTTGGTGTCGGTGAAATTCCCCGCTCATGCAGTCAAGTACACACACCAATGTATTATTGTTATTGCAATTAGTACAGTAGACCCTCATTAAACAAAACCTGAAGAGTCTAAGAAATATGTTCCATTTAATAGGAGTTCCATTTACTGAGGGACGAACAAGGGTGCAGAATATAAGAATCAAACTAATCTTGCGAGGAGCACTTGTTCAATCTAAAGTTCCATGTGATTTATGTTTGCTGAGAGTCTACAGTACTGTTTAAAATTGTGAACCAGTGCTGTACTGACCTAAACAATTTCCATGGTGCAGGAACAAAGCTCCTGCATCGCCGCAACGAACGAGGTTCAGCTCTTAATCAACTGGTTTACGTGGTAAGAGCAAATCGAATGAACCTGCGGTAGAACTAGGTAATGCAGACCGACATAACCTGTCCCAACTTCCAGTTTCAGTCTGGCTAATGCACTATCGCCTAGCAAATAATCGTAAGCCAGAGTTCATCGGGTGCTCACAGTGGCCAGTCACCTTGGTCTTGCAGGCCGGCAGCAGGATCCGCGGGTCCCTGACGGTCCGACCCAGGACACGAGGAAGCAGCGCTTGCTCGCACTCGGCGTCTTCCGCCTGCAACAACTCCCAGCCTGCCTCTTGTGCCTGCTTCTCCGCGGCTCGCTTGGTCCACCATGTCTCTGTCTCAGGCAACGAGGCCTCCCTGGAAGGCACGAGCGCGTTGAGGACAACTCCCGTTGCCAGTGGTCCCGTCAATGAGAACCTCACTATCTGTTCCTTGAGCTGCACCATGGTCACCGAACCGTTCGTGTACACTGGCAGCTGCACCACCTCGGCCATCGAGATGCTTTTTTCCATATCTTCTTTGTCTTCGACAACCCTGGAAGATGCCTTCCTTTCTTCCAATTTTCTTCTTTTCGGTGCCTCCGCACGTTTCTTTCTCGATGTCCGTTTCTGTCCTTTTTGGGTTTCGCTTGTCTGCCTTTTCGTTTCAGACTTCGCCTGACCTGCGGAAACTGCTAGCTGTGCCGATGATTGGACAGGTTTGGTTATTTCGTTCAAACTATTGGTTTCTTTTGCCTTCAACTTGGGTGTCAACTCTTCAAACTTCACACGCTTCAAATCGCAAGCTGAAGTGGGCATTTGAATGCTCACGTCTGAGTCTCGCACCTTCGAATCTGCAGTCCCCCCAGTGCATGCTTTCACCCTTTGAAGCTGAAACACTGACACCAGTTCTTCGGTCACCTCACCATGAATGGTAGGGTGTACCCAAAGCCACAGCTGGCGATCGTTATTGGTGTCATTGTTATGACTAACGCAGGCACGCCACAGAAATTTGGCTGGTCCAATGGCACCGAATGGGTAGCAATTGCGGTGGTACAACACCACTGTGCCTTCACGAGTTCCAGGAAGATAGGACTTGGCTCCGCATGTGAGACCTGCAGCAGGAGAAAGTGTAAATAACAACAATATTGATTGAAGCAACTCGCACGGATGAAAGATAAAATTGTGATGCAACTGAAAGCAGTACAAAGCTACAATGGAGGCCCACATGAATTCCTCTGAAAGTACTGCATTTAAGACTGTAACGACAGAATAAAAAAGGGGCCCAGAAAGTTGGCATTTCAGAAGTCTTATCACTTCATTCAGTTCTTGACAGAACACAGTAATGTCTTTTAACAAAGTCAGACTTCTCTCCCTCTCTCTTCAATGTATTACATAGTTATCAACGAATATTTAAACGTTTTGAATATTCAAAAGAGCATCAAAGTATTCAAGTGCGCTCCAACATGAAATAATACTACAGTAGAATCTCAATGATACCATTACGGTTGATGCGAATTTTACGATGATATTACTTTTAAGGTTGCTTCGGATGGGCTACATTATATAAAATACGGCATGATTTAGTGTTATACGAATGGTTTCTGCAGCCACCGCTGATGATACAAACGCACGATTGACCCCTGCACACAAACGGTGCAACGCGGCTTGTCCATGGAAGAAGAGCCCAATCACATTTGGCCTCAAAGAATGTGACTGCAGCAAAACTCATGGGAATCTCCCTCGCTTTGCCACCTAAGTGGGGAGAAAACCACGCCGCGAGGCTGACACAAAAAAAAAAAAAAAAAGATTGCTCTGAGACCAATTTTTCCATAAGTGATCGCAAATCGCCTCTTTACATCACTGCTTTAGCTACATTGGCTGCACTAGCACTCAAACATGTTACATAAAAAACAGGCCACAAATTTAAAATAGCGGTAAAGGCGGAGGCAGTGGCTCACATCAGCGCAATCGCAAACTACCCACGCAGCCCGACAATGCTCACAGCCTTCACAAGGACACGTTCAGCAGCAGCGAGTCTGCATGCCCTAACAGGCCTCGCATTTGCACTGCCAGCTGAATCTGTCATCGCTGTTGCCGGTGCGTCCACTCGTGTTGTTTCTGCTGGCGTATCTTTTGAAACAACTTTTGTACAGGTGTAAACTTGCATGCTCAGGAAACGGGCCAAATGGAATCAATTCTCATGCTACGAAGGCGGCAGCAATGGCATGTATAGATCGTTCTATCGGGCGAGGAGGACCGAACTGGCAACCAGTGCTTTCCTCCTTTACGGAGCGTGCCGATGGCGCAAAGTGTACAGGCTGGTGCTTGAATGAGTGAGGCTTTCGAACAATTTAGAATGTTTCAGGTTAAACTGCGGGGTCCTTTTTTTCTTTTTTATGGCGATGTCAGCCAGAAAAAGGTCAATGCGAAGCCACTGTACCTCATTGGTTGTTCCGAGAAATACAGAAAAAAAAAAATTCCCGTCTGGAATAGTATGCGGCACGCAGCACCAAACGCACATTGTTTGCGGTTGCTTCATGGTACACATCACTTGTGTTACGTGACAAGTTCTATATCGCCAAGTGCCGCATCATACCCGGAATGCCCAGTGTTCCACTCGGCCAAATCAGAATTGGACATGGTTAGATTAACGACCAAACGTAAGCAGTGAAGTACAGCCCTGTCCGTTCAAAAAAATCCAAGCACGACTCGTGTTCTCATCTGTGTTTTTTTCGCTTGGCTTTATTATTATATTTTAGCACGATGGGTTCAGTAAAAAAAATTTGCCTCATAGCTTGGCTCAACATGGTGATGAATGTAGTCACTGGTAATCGCAGCTTCACACCTCAGAAGCAAACCACAAACACTAACCTGCATCTGCGTTCGTCAAGAGTGCAAGCCTGGAGACGAGTGTTTCTTCATTGCCGATCAGCTCGATACAGTTGTAATAAGACAAGTCCTGCACAAATGAAGAAAAAGAAAAGAGTTCTTGCCCAGTAGACTTCAGCAGCTTACAAACAAGGAACTAAAGCATGCGGAAGTGAGGGATTGCAAAAATGCAATGCAAGAACAGCAGTTCTAAAACTCAAATGAGAGAATATGTAGAATAAGGGGCTGGCAGACGCATTTGAAGTTTGAAGTTTATTTCACCAGAGTGTTACACCATACAATGTGTGGTGTGGAATGCGGGAAAAAAGCTGCAATAAAAAACGCAGCTTGGCTAGCCCCACATCCTATCAATACAAGGCAGAAAAAGTGACAGCATTCATAAAGTCCTCGAAACAACTAAACGGATGCAAATACATAGTTTAAAGTGGCACCAATAAAAAATATTGCATACATAAAATTCTAAGAAATGTTGATAGGATTGCACTGTTTGAGAAAATACGAAAAAATAGAAATAAGCAGAACATAAAAAACAAATCTTTGGAACTGCCTAAATCTCTCTTGCATCATGAAGGTAAAAAAATATGCGACATATCCTGTCGCGAAAGAAGGCGCAACTGCTCCAATAAAAAATTGAACTTATTTAGTATGTGGGGGAGTGAATGTTTCAGCATTTATAGACGATAGTTTGTTCGGCATCGAGGAACCTTCCAATAATCATTCTGTCTAGTAGGTAAAGACAAAGTGCTGCGCTCTAAGCATACTATGGAGATAAGATTGTTACTTCCTTTGTTAATTTCAGTTTTTAAAGACGCTAGTAAACAATATTCATACATGTTGTCAAATCTTACGACTCTGAAATTGTTGTATAAAGACAAGGTATGTGCATGGTACACATCACTTGTGTTATATCACTCCTGTTCTATATCGCCAAGTGCCGCATCTCACCCGGAATGGCATTTGACCAGCACACATCTGACAGCCGAATTACTCGTGACATTGCTTCTGCTCCTGTACTCCAACTGGCTACTGGTGTGGCTAGCAGCTGATGCAATACTGTATTTCCTAGGTGAGCTGCCCAGTATTTTTCAGTTTCAATTACACATTCTCAGTTTCACAGTAAATATTAACAATGCTTTTCAATGATTAGATGCTAACTGCTTTACTGTTCTTGCATAAATTACATAAAGAGATCATAGTTGATGGCCAAGACTTCGGTTTTTGAGCCTTGATACTGTTAATTCAATGATTTGTCAAAAAGAGAACAAATAAACATGAAGGCACCATGCATTAGTGGTGCAAGGCTGGAGTCAACCGCAGAACTTCCGATTAGCCTAGCATATTCCAATTTTTCTAGGCTTCCCTAAGTTATGCTGGGTCTGGGCTAAACTTGTCTTAAAATAATTAGTGGTAGCTTAGCTACGATTGGCTTAATTAACCTTGGTTTTCACTAATCTAGGCATAATTGGTATTGGCATACTTGTGAATATTTAACTACAGTTGGCTTAATTCGCCAGTTCAAGTGGTCATGACTCAATTAGGATTGGCTCAAATGGTCTTGACTTACCGTAATTACTTGAATCTAACGCGCACCTTTTTTCCGGTTAAGCGAGTTCATAAATCGCATGCGCGTTTAAATTGAGTGCGAAAAAAAAATGAATACGGTCATTCTATTGCCATCGGCTTTTCCAAAATGGCCACCCCCTATGTGCTTCGGCATGGCACGTCGGCCATTTCTGCCTATGTGTTTCCCTTGTGCGGCACTTCGTACATGTGCTGAGGAGTTCGTCATCTTGTAGTGCATTAGCATCGACGGCATGGAAGGGTCGACTCTAAAAACTCTAGTGCACCACGATGCCGCTTTTAAAAGAAAAGTCATCGCGTGTGCAGAAACGAACGGAAATCGGGCCGCATCGCGGTCGTTCGGAGTTCCCGAAATGTGCATGCGGGACTGGCGGAAACAAAAGCAGAAGATTGTCGACAGCAAAGATTCACGCAAAGACTTCAGTGGACCACAGCAGTGTCGGTTTACGCAAATTGAAGAGCTGCTCGGCGAGTATGTGCTTGAGCAGCGAGCGGCCCGTGACGACAGAACTGCTCCAAGTGCGGGCTGTGCAATTAGCCTTAAAAAAAGGTCTAATGCGGAGCCAGTTTAAGTGGGGACGCGGCCTTTGAAAACCGAAAAATCGCGAAAAAGTAGATTTTTGGCAAACCACATATTCGGGCAGTATGTGTCATAAACTACCTTTTCTGTAAATATCAACGTCTAATTCGTCGCGAAACCATTTGAAATAAAGTTTAGAACATGCCGCAGCGGCCCTCGAGCGGCGCGCGAGCGCTCAAAATACCCCAACTTGGCGTGATCGCAGTTTCTCGACCGCTCGACGGAGCGCCGCCATTTTGGTGTTGTTTTGTTTGTGAATTCTTGCTCTTTCTTTCCCCGCCACATGCGTCGCCGGCGGCAGCGCAGGAGAGGAGCAAGCCGCTCATGATTGGAGGGCTCGCGAGAGCTTTCAAGTTTCCCGCGGCTGAGGCGCGCAGCTGGGATTGGGCGAAGCGCGCGCTCCCCAAGGACGCGGGGGAGCCCGCGACTGCCATTGGCTGCTGCGCGCGATGACGTAGCGCTCTTGCGCATAATGCGGCCGATGCGGCCGCTCGTCTGCTGCTCTTCCGTCCGGCGTCTTTGTGTTCCGCTCGCTTCCGTGTATCGTTGCAGCCGTTCGCATACTCTCCACGTTTCAACTGTCTTCGAAACGATTTTCAACCGTCTTTACGAGACGATTTTCAACCGTCTATACGAGACCGTTGTTGTGTTCGCTCACGATGCGCCCAACGAAAAAGAAGACGCTACAATCGTTCGGTGCAAGGAAACGAGCTATGAAGCTTGTCCGCGCGGTGAGGCTCTCCGCTCGCACGTGCGCCGACGGTGATCGCGCCGACGGTACCTGTGGGGCAGCTTCTGCTCCATCTACGCAAGAGAGTGGTCGCATCGACGCGCCTAGCAACGGGACTCCTGCTCCGCCGGTGCAAGAATTTGTCGTTACAAGTGCGCCTGGTGTCTCGTGCTCATCGACAGTGGCTTCCGCATCTTCTCTTTCATCGGCCTCGAGTGCGATCGCGTCGTCAACTGTGCATTTGCGAACAAGTTTCCTGACGTGCGAGGAGAAAGAGGCGGCGGATCAACAATGCGCTGCTGTGCAAAGAGAACTTGGCGCTATGCCAGCGACGGAGCGCAAATTTCAGGCAATGGAGCGCGATCATGAAGCTGCCACCGCTACAAGTGAAGGCGAAAAATTTTTACTTGTGCAAATGGATGCCATAGACGACCTGCTATCTCGGACCCCGTGCCACCGGTGCACCGCGATTGGGATGAAGGTACGAGGAGGCACCCAACTTGGACTTGCTGCAAAGCTTGAGCTAGTATGCTTGCATTGTGGAGTAGTTTCAAGCTCATGGAGTTCATCTCGTCAGGATGACACAAAGGCCTTTGATGTGAATGTAAGAGCCATTATGGCAACAAAACAAATAGGCAAGGGACAAACAGCTCTCAACGACTTTTGGGCAGCGATGAACGTGTCCCATCGTGGCCTCCATCACAAGACCTTTCAGAAGCACCTGAAGAAATTCCGGGAACCGCAGACACAATGCATAGAAAATTTCTATGCAGAATCTGCTTCTGCTGTAAAAGCCACTTACAAAGAAATGGATCAATATTTCACCAGGGATATAACAGTTTGTTATGATGGAACATGGCACAAGCGTGGGCACACATTCCATATTGGAGTCGGGGCAATTATCGAATACCATACAGGCCTTATCTTGGACGCCGTTGTTCTGTCTAATCAGTGCCTTGGTTGCCAAGTAGGGCCAAAGCCTGAAGACGCAGACTATGCATGCTGGCTGTAGAATCATGTGTGCCAGAAAAACACCGACTCTAAATCAGGGAGAATGGAGGTTGAGGCAGCTATCATCCTCTTTTCACGCTCACTGTTGAAGCACAACCTCCGTTACACAACGCTCGTGTCTGATGGAGATAGTGCCACCTTCTCTGCCCTTGTACAAGAAAATGTTTATGGACTGGTCCCCATTTCAAAAGAGGAATGCCTGAACCACGTTCAGAAGAGGATGGGGACTGCACTTCGCAACCTTGTGCAGAAAAGTGACAAGGCTTTGGGAGGGAAGGGCAGGCTGACAAAGCCCTCATCGACAAGTTGGCAGATTATTATGGCTGGGCCCTACGGAACAATTCCGTTGACGTGGCTGCAATGCGGCGGGCAGTGATGGCATCGTACCACCATGTGACGTCGACGGATGAGGAGCCGCACCACGACTTGTGCCCAGTGGGTGCAGACTCCTGGTGTCGTCACAATGCCAGCAAGATTACCGGTGTTCCACCTCCGAAGCATTCGTACAAGCTGCCACGCTATGTTGCAGATGCACTTCTACCCATTTATGAGAGGCTCTCACAGGCTTCTCTTCTGCAACGCTGCCTGGGAGCAAAGACGCAGAATGCATCAGAGTCCTTTCACTCTGTGCTGTGGTCCCTCATGCCCAAAGAGCAGCATGCGTCACTGATTGCTGGGGAGACAGCACTGCATGATGCAGTGCTAAGATACAATGCTGGCTGCTACAGGGCCACCCAAGAGCTAGCTTCATCAGTGGGGCTAACACCTGGCCACCTGGCTATTCAACGGGCAGCCGAGAAAGATTCTCTGCGCTTGAAAAAGGCTAAGAAGCGATCCCTAGAGAAGATGGAAAGGCGGCAAAGAAAGAGAGTGCCAAAGGACACCTCCAGTTACGCTGCAGGTTCATTTTAGAACTGCCTATGTGCTCAAAACTTTCAAACGTCGTTTTCTCAAAATGACTTTTTTGGCTAGTGAGGCTGCTTATTCCAGCCATATCTCTGGAACCACTCATTGGATTTCCATAAGTCTTTTTTATTATGTACATGAATAAATTTCTGAGGGGGTGACAAGCCCATTTTTTCAATATATTGTGTGTGTTATTTATTATATTTAATCAAAATTTGATTGATAATATCCTAATCACGAACACAAAGTTTGATGGTCTGCTAAAACTTTTCAGCAAGGAAATTCAAAAAAAGGGCTCTGTTACCCCCTGGAGTATCAATCTGGGAATCATCATAGTTAATTTCACAGTTCCAGCACCTTTTGAAAGTTCTCCAGGCTTGGAATAAGAGAACCATGTGCACTACCCTGATATTCTGCTGCAACTTGAAAACCAGTGAACATAACTTGATGAAATTTTGTAGTTCTTGTAATGCTTTTGCTTAAGTCTATCCTGAAAATTTCATTAAGATATCTCAATAAACAAAAAAGTTGGTATCCGATGGTAGCCTCCCCCCTTAAAGCGAGCAGGTGCTAGCTAACAAACTCTATGAAGAGGAAAGGCTTTTCCCTCTGAAGGTGAACGGGCATGTGCAAAAAGTTTTGCAGAGGAGCACGACGAAAAGCTTCACAGTTTTTACAGGTTCGTCCTAAACTTGCAGCACAACAACGGCTACCTGCTTGGACAAATCGGGAATGCCGATCAGACACCTCTTTACTTCGACATGCCTGGCACCACAACCGCTGAGAAGAAGGGAGCGAAGCAAGTTCGCGTGCTGACATCGGTCCAAGGTAAAACTACAGTGACGGCAATGCTCTGTTACACGTCAGATGGGCACAAGCTTCCCCCGTACCTCATATTTAAATGGAAGACGCTCCCGAAAGGAGTCGTTTTTTCGAGTGGTGTGAACGTGCGGGCCGGCGAGAAAAATGGGTGCGCGTTGCAATCGATGTCTTACTTTTTTTTTTCGTCGTGGAAATCGGGTGCGCGTTACAATCGAGGGAGCGGTAGAATTGAGTAAATATTGTAGCTAGGCCTGGCTTAATAAATTGTCATACAATTAGATATCTCTTAGTAAGTCTTGAACTTAATTATCATGGTTTAGGTTAATTAGCCTGATCTCGTTCATCAGAACTGCTGCATTCTCCCTTAGACCAATCAGTGCATGTGCTGAGCAAGAGAAACAGAAGATGAAGAAAATGAAGCAAGCATGTGTTAGTTTACAATGATGATAATTTCTGTTCACTCTAGCTGGCACACAAAAAGTTTAGGAGCATCAGTGTAAAAAAGCTCTACCTCTTTCTCTGCCCCTTGCAGTGTCCATATTGCAACCTTAACTATTCTGTAATCCAGACACTAGGAAAGAAAATCAAGGTGACTATGTGCAGCATGCTTACATGGAGCAATACGTGTTTCGCACTGCCTCGATAGGCTGCCCTGATGCCCTTGTCCGTTGGATGGAGGGGTACACGGTACCCCCACAAGTCGGCCATCTTGAACCGCTTTGCATGCCATATGTGAGTCTCAAGCCAGACGTGGCGTCGCTGACGCCGCGCATACTCGGCCAGCAGATTGCGTGGCCGACGGCGGTGCTTGCGGCTGGGCCGTTTGCTCTTGGGTGGATCAGGCTGCAGAGAGCCAATTAGATCACAAGACTGAAAACGAAGTTTCTCAGAGAAAAAAAAGCACTGCAAACTAAATAACACCGAGACACTGTACTGTTTACATCTTGCTAGAAGTGCAACATATGTAGTACCAACTAATTCAGCACCAATTACGATAAATCATAAGGGTCAAAAATATACATGTACGTCTAAAACACGCACTGCACGTTTAAAACTTGTCTTTCTCAATCATTTTTCTTGTTTGACATCTGTTGCAACACTTTGAGAATACGATAAATTTTTACCTCGTACTGAGATCCCTCTTTTTTTTTTTTTTTTTTAATGCTTTGCTACAGCAGTGCGCCAACTAGTTTAAGTTTCGTTCTTCGGCCAGTTCTCTTTTGTTACGTCCACAAAACTGATGGATTTGTGCTTTGGAATCTTTCTAAAGATGACCGATTTGTTAATCTCTCATTCATTTCTCCCTGGTATGTGGTTACTGCCACAAATGATGCCACTGTTGTGTTCTATGTTTTGGAGACACACAAAAAACGCTTCCGTCATGTTCGCAATAACATAGACGCTTATAGGTTTCAGCCTTTGTCTTCACATTTCGGAAGTGTTCATAGCTACAAAGTTTTCTACAGTGCATTCACCAGCACAGTTTGCTTTCGCTATGAAAGTGCCCGCCGGTTTGTCTGCTGCAAAAGTCCAGCGGCAATTTGTCTGAATTGCCGCTTGGCTGCCGCATCAGAATCTGATTCAGTAGATGTCAGCCAGTCATGTGAGGGGTTACTTAAGAGTCAAGACTTCAATTTTGATGAGTAACACCTCAAAACCGTGATGGATTCTCGTCCATGTGCTCGACTGCGGCTTTTTCTGTTATAGCTGTAGCACCGCTGGCATGCGTACATTTTACTTACCTTGCGAAGTTTTCATGCACTTGCCTGTGATTTGCACACTGCACTGCATCTTGGATAATAAACCCATTTGTTGACAAGCTGCCTCTAGTGCTTTTTCTGCGCTGTATCTGTGAGTCAACAAGCCCGGCCCTAGCGACGTTGTGCACAGTGGTAGCGGAGATTGTCACGTCCCTTCCTGGTTGCTTCGTAAGGTAAGCTTCTCGCAAAGCTATCTCCACAAGCTTATTCTTCTTCATCTATTTTTTAATACAACTTTCAACATCATGCAAACATTATCATTACTGCAAATTTTCAAATGATCGTCAAAGATGCATGCAGTATTGTCACATCCATCGCACACCCACTGCCTTGGTTTTAGGTGCCCTGCACACACTTTTCCAAGTAACCACTCAATATTTCCATTAAAGGAGTTTCTTGCCTCACGAATCAAACCCCACCAAAATTTGTAAACTTCGTCAAGCACAAGTGAAGTAAAAAATATTTGTCGCAAGCTATAATTTTTTTTTTCTCTAGTCCTGACAAGTGTGCTGGAGGCTAAAAAGTTACGTCCCATGCATGTTATCACCTTGAGTACAATTTTTTTTCTTTATTCAAAAGCACCTTGTACTTTTCGTGTGATCGCGAGCAAGCACGCTGGCCCGTGACTACCGCTGTAGCTATGCAGCCCACGATGGTCAAATCAGCTGATGGCCATGAATTTCGGTATGTGGCACAGTCATTTGGGTATATACCATCATTTATAGAAAGAAGAGGGAACGATTTACAGCTGAAATTAAGAAATGATTGTCAGTTCCGGGCCACATGCTGCACTCTAATGTTAGGCTCACGCGTTCTCAGGACCCTCGACTACCAATCAGCAGCGTCTTCTGACCATGCGGAAGAGCTGTTGCCCAGCATATTTACTGGTTGTGGTAATTCACTCCTGGCCCAAAGACTGTGAGAAGGAATCCAGGCTGTGGTGGCTCCCAATGGAGACGAAATACCAGAGGTCCAGATACTCATATTTAGGTGCACATAAAAAAAACCCACGTAGTTAAAATTGTCAGAGCGTTCCACTATGTGGTTACACCCTCATATCATATCTTTCTGGAACGTAAAACCCTAGCAGTTGCTATTATTATGCCCATGGCACTAATTCCATGAAATTGCCGTATCCCAACAGTTCTACCAGAGATGCCCAAGAAGTTTTTCCAGGTGTGCCACATGGCCTCTTTAGGCTTAACAGTGCAGATCACTATGCCTCAATGACTTGCCTCATGTGCAATCTTCAGCTGCAGGCGCTTGGGCAGGCGGCGCTTGTCATGGCTGACCGTGCGTCTCCGCATGTGCCGAGGCACCTGCTGCGAGATGAGCTTGGGGTACTTGCGCTCCACATCCTTCACCAGGGAGGCAATCTCATCCGCTCGGCCGCCCAGGAACCGAAACAGCTCTACCTCTGAAATCAAACAGGACGACGTAGCAGCATAGTAGTGAGAAAACACAACTTGAATGGGAGAGTTTTGATAGTATTGATGTCTGAAAGAGGAAAACACTGTAGTTCATTTCCCATAGTTTGCCGGCCTTGTACCGTAGTTACAAATATGCATTACACGATCACTTGAACAGAATCCCATTTTATAAGTAAACAGTCTGATATATTGCACATCAGGTTTGGCTTGGAGTAGCCTGCATATGTAAATGCAACAACCAAACATATATAGACAAATATGGTTGTTAGGTTTGTTATATTGCCTGGATTTGTGTGAATGGTAAATTTTAATTGCAATCAACTCATGCTTAACTTAAACAGGTTACAGAGGACAGGATCAAGCCATCCTGGCTAATCCGACCACACATTCATCTTATCGACGCCTTGTTGACTAGGGCAATACTGGTCCAATGTAGCCCAAACAAGCAATTCTATTCATAAGAACATCACCTACAAACGGTTGAAGTGACAAGCACTGACATACCACGGGGCACCCTCACATCCTCCAGCTCCGAGGAGTCTTCAAGGCGTGGCTTCTTGGCTTCAACACAAGCTTCGTCACGTTCAGGTGCTGGCTGAAATAGCATATGCCGCCACATCAGTAGATTCAATAAAGTTTTTGTTGACACTTTTGAACAGCTATAACCTCCTCAGTCCTAAGAATGCACCAACGAAAAAAGCTTTTGCTAAACTGTAATATTTAACTCCCTGCCCTTAAAAACAAACTCAGAAAAATTATGATTTCGAAAAATTGAACAGTTGTCTCAAAATGCAATGGTGTCCATTTGCGTACTCCTGATCTTTTGAAGTCTCTAAGATTCAGTGCAACAAAAATATCAGACGATATGACTTTCAATATGATTTACAAGGTGTCTACAGTTAAAGGAATGCACTGTAGACGATGTCGCTCACGCCACAACTAAGAGAAAAAAAGCTTTCACTTATCGCGAGGACGCATCCGAGTGTTCGTGCAGTACTCATTTTGGTTCACTCGTTCTGCGAATATGACTAGACACACGGCGCGGCGCCACTTCTCCAGGCTTCACGAAAGCAACTCATCCTTACTATACCAAAATAATTTTGGACACGTCGATATGTGATGATCCGTAGCTTATAGAACAACCGTATCCAATTGGGTACCGAGGGACTGAAAAGGATAAAGCAATGCAAAGTTCAAGCGAGCGTCCCATTTGACAACTCACTTTCTTAATAAGCGTAATTATGGGATGCAGAGAATGCTTCCCCGTGCGACAAGCACAGTTCAACAAAACTTGAAATTCGGCGTGATGGTGCATGGTTGGCGGGAGAATTGGGCGCGCAATAAAAGTAGCGCCCGTCCTGTCCTTTCGTCTTATGAATGTGTGTTTTTTGCACTCGAAATTCCCGTCAACAGGCACTGTATCAATATGAATTCTTGGCCCGATGGGCGGCATGGCGACGGGATTCCGAGACGAAATATCTATTTCTTCGTAAACAAGATCTCACCTTTTCGGTTTTCTCAGAAGTATATTCACCCGTGCTTTTCCTGGTATTACCAGCAGGCTTCTTCGCTTCACCGTTGACGCTCGTCGGCGAAAAAGTTACGTTCTTGTAATAATCGGCTGGGTTTTCCGTTTCCGCCGGCATTTTGCACGAGTTCTGTGCGAGTACGACCAGCGCGATCTCCTTCAATGAGTTGCCTCACACTCTCTGCCAATGGGTTCTCGCTAAATGACCCACATAGCACGGATGATTTCCACACAAGTTTACCGGCAGCCTGGGGATGCTAGGGCACACACACTAAATTGGTTAACTGGCGCAAAGTACGCGCAGCCAACACGTGCTGTCTCACTGCCGCCATGTTCGACGAAAAGGAGAAGCTAGAAAGTATCCAATCCAATCCAGTAGACGAGATTCATTTCGGTTTTGGTATCAAGCACGCCTCGCACATAGTGGTGATATTTCAGAATTTCACACCTTTTGTTTGGTAAATTACGTGCACAGAACACTGACCTCTACTAGTAGAGATCCCGGCAGGAATGAAAATTTCATCCTTCTAAACTTAAACGCTAGGAGCGTAATAAAGAAATTGCCTAGCCTTCTCTCCTTTGTCTCAGTGTATTCGCCTCACGTCATCGGCATTACTGAAACGTGGCTACATGATGGTATCCTTGATTCCGAGTTCACTCCTCCAGGGTACACAGCAGTTCGCACCGATAGACTCATGATTTTTATAGCCAATATCTACCACAACCCCACGCCAGGCCATGGCCACTCTCGATGCGCTATTGCAGAGAATTCACCGCATCGCGGGCCGAAACCCCCTACTCATAGCCGGCGATTTTAACTCTCACCATACAGACTGGGGTTATCGGTACACCACAGCACGGGGTCGCAGGCTTTGGACTACCATTCAAGACTTGCGCCTCACTACACATAACAACTTTCTCACACCAACCCGAATCGGCAATAGCGTAACAATGGACACTAGTCCAGACCTCACACTCAGCCGTTCTCTCAAAGATATCTCATGGTCTCGTACACAACACACACTTGGAAGCGACCATTATATTATCGCCATACAAATACCTCACACACCACACAGACCTCGACTCCTCACCCACAATCTGATTCACTGGGACGCTATCCGATCCACTCGTCGGGAACTCCCCAACACCCCGATACAAGACATTGATCATTGGGTCTCATCTCTCCTAGATGATATAACCGCACACACACAAAAGATTACCACACCACCCAACACCCCTACATTGGACACTCGCTTAATTAGCCCACCTCTGGGAGGCGCACCACAGCATACTGGAGAGATGGAAACGACAGAAACATAACAGAACGTTAAAACGCCGACTGGCTACGCTACAGACACAAATAACTGCGCACGCCGAGGAGTTGTGTCGTTCCAACTGGGGTCAGGTGTGCAACAGCATAGCTGGCAACCTCTCTACCAAGTACGCATGGCACCTCCTACGGCACCTTATCGACCCTACACACTCACGCACAACATCACAACATCACATTACACGCCTACTTCACAACTCCACGCTTTCCCCTGACACCCTTCTGGACCAACTACGCACAACACACACGGCACCCGGCACCTCCTCCCCTCTCCCGCCCTACACGGGAGCCCCGAATGAAGCCCTGGACAACGACATATCGGAGCAAGAGGTCCGTATGGCCCTCCAGAACATCCGAACAAGCTCTGCACCGGGGAAAGACGGGATAACTAACTCCATGCTCCGTAATCTGTATGATCAATCGATTGCACAGATTACAGATTACTTTAATAAATGCTGGAAGGAAGGCACCTTGCCGCAATCCTGGCGCCATGCCAAGATTGTATTCATCCCTAAACCTAACAAACCCCTTACCATATCAAACCTCCGCCCCATTTCACTCACATCGTGTCTCGGGAAGCTTCTCGAGCACGTTGCTTTAAACAGACTGACTCAACACATGCACGACCACAACCTATATCCGCACAGCATGGTGGGCTTCCGCCCGTGTCTCTCCGCCCAAGATACCATGCTTCAACTGACGCACGGAATTCTTGATCCTCTCATCCCCGCTCATACTAAAGCCGTCTTGGCCCTGGACTTAACCAAGGCCTCTGATCGAGTAGAACACCGAGCGATCATGGCGGCTCTCTCCCCCTCAATGTGGGCGTTCGTATGTACGCCTACATACAAGCCTTCCTATCAGGACGCACGGCCGAGGTTCATATGGGCCCCCATGCGTCCCATCCATATACCCTCAGTGGTGTAGGCACTCCGCAAGGTTCGGTCCTTCCCCTTTTCTCTTCAATGCCACACTCCTTCCCTTATTAGCCCGCACTCTTCACAATATCCCTCACCTTCACCACACCCTCTATGCAGACGACATCACACTGTGGACCACCCACGGTAGTGATGGCGACATAGAGGAAACCTTACAAACCGCCGCAAACATTACACAACAATACGCACAAAGCATTGGTCTCTCCTGTTCCCCGGAAAAATCTGAGCTGCTTCTCATACGCCCTTCACCACGTACTCTTCCCACTGCCCCCATCACCGTTACTCTGGACGGGCGCCCTATCCCAGAGGTCGACACAATTCGAATCTTGGGCCTTCACATCCAAAATAACGGCCGTAACACTTTCACTATCCGGAAACTCAAGCGGGTGACGGATGCGCTCTCGCACCTCGTCCGCAGAGTTTCTGGAAAACACTATGGCATGAAGGAACACGATTTGTGCCGTCTCATTCATGCCTTCATACTGAGCCGCTTCCTTTATACAATCCCGTATCTCCGACTTCGACAAGAAGTAATAGCCACCCTGGATGCCATGCTTCGTAAAGCCTACAAGGTGGCCTTACACCTCCCCCCTAACACACAGACCACTAAACTTCTTCAGCTTGGGCTCCATAACACCACACACGAACTCATTGAGGCCCACAGACGAGCGCAATACACTCGTTTAATTCAGACTTTCACCGGACGCTACATACTTAACTCTCAATATTCACATACCAGGAGCCGACCCCACACTTCTACCAATCCCCCGACCCATACACACACAGATAATAGTTAAACCTCTCCCAAGAAACACCCACGTTACCTACCATTCGGCCCGCCGCAAGGCCCGTGCAAAGGCTCTCCACAAATACTACGGTTCTGAAGAGGACGCAGTATGGGTGGATGCAGCTTGCACGGGCGACGACGCGGCAGTTGCAGTCGTTGATCGCACACTCCAACCCATTGCAACTATCCACCTTCCTCCTGCATCCACCCCGGAATCCTCGGAAGAAGCGGCGATCGCGCTTGCCCTCGCACACACTGATACCAGGTACGTCCTTTCCGACTCGAAAACCGCGATCCTAAATTTCGCGTGAGGACGAGTCCACGAGAGCGCTTTCAGAATTCTCAGCTCGCCCACCAAAAATCCGGCCCGCCATGTGGAGCTGATCTGGGTGCCTGCGCACTCTGGAAATCCCGGCAACGAAGCCGCCAATGACCACGCCCGAGGTCTCATCAACCGGGCGGCGGCGGAATCGGGCTCTTCCAGGGAGCGCATGCATTCGTTCAACGAGATCACCCAGTCATATCGCGCCGAACGCCAGCTATACCCACCACCCCACCGATCCCTCAAAAATTTTCACCAAATATTATGGCGTCGCCTTCAGACCCGCACCCTTCCCTCCCCCTATTTTCTTTCCCGCATTTACCCGGGAGCGTACGCCCCGTCCTGTGCTCAATGCACTCACCCCCACGCTACCCTTACCCACATTCTCATGGAATGCCCGGCGGACCCTCCCCCGCGGGGCCCGGAGCCACTGACCACATGGGAGGAATGGGAGACCTTGCTGCGCTCGACGGACCCGGCCAAGCAGAAAATCGCCACTGACCGGGCCGCCCACGTCATGGAACTGCATGAACTCATGAACGCATAGCGCAGTGGGGTCGTGCGGGGACCCTGGGACGTAAGTGCCCAAATCCCTTGGTCTAATAAAGTTTTACCTCCTCCTCATGGGGAAAGGGGGTGGTGTTGCTCTTCTTATCCGTTCGGACTTAAAATTTGCTGTGATTACAGGCCCAGCCGACACCGAGTCTGTTTGGTGCAAGATTTGCCTCGAAAAATGTGCAATTGTCGTTTGCGTTTTCTATCGGCCTCCTGCCTCGAGTATTGAAACATTACAGATTCTTAATAACTTCATGTACGAGCGCAATTTTAGTGTGTCGAACTTCATTTGCATGGGCGATTTTAACGCCCCAGGTATTCACTGGCCTTCCCTTACGTGTGATGGTCGCGAAAGTAATATTTGCAAGGAACTTATAGACTTTACAGTATCTTTCGGTTTAGCTCAAATTGTTCATGGTGCCACCAGGTTGAATGCTGTTCTCGATCTCGTATTTTTAAGCTCCGACCTTTCGGATAAAGGCTTTGACTATGAAATAATTGATGGCCTGTCTGACCATCAGGCTGTTCTTGTTTCCCTCGCATGCGTAATCAATAAACCGCGATATGTTTTCACTCCGTTTCCTGACTTTGAACGTGCGGATGACCTTTCTGTTCTAGACACTTTGGCGGATGCGTACGATGACTTTGTGCTACTCAGCGCTTCAGGAGACATTGATACACTAACTACCACTTTTGAAAATCTAGTAAAATCATGCATTTCAGAGTTTATCCCTACAAAGACTAAAAAGAAAAACACTGATGTTCCCTGGATGACTCGCGATCTTTTACACTTATCTCGTAAAGTCCGAAGACTTCGGCGCTGCAAATCATCGAGCAATTCAGAAAGCATTATCAGGTTTATTGAGGCCAAGAGGGAACTTCGAGAGCAGCAAAATTTAGCTAAAGATTTCTTTTTTCGTGTTCAACTTCAAAGTTTACTATCCGACAATCCCCGCAAGTTCTGGCGCTCAGTTTTGCCTCGCGATGCTTCTTGTAATTCTTTCAAAATAAACTATAGAATCATTGATGATCCGGTGGAAATTTCGAACAATTTTAACTCGTTCTTTCAGTCTGTCTTTACAGTCGACAACCTGGTTGTTCCTTCTTTTTCCACCTTGAATCCAACGTCTCCAATCAGTGATGTAGTGATCACTGAAGAGGGCGTGTTAAATCTCGTACTTAATTAGAACACTAAAAAGTGTAATTTACCCGATGGTATCCCTAACATGTTTCTCGTTCGCTACTCCCTTTGGACCTCTCAATACCTTACAATAATTTTCAATAAATCCGTAAAATCTGGAACCGTTCCCAGATCTTGGAAAAACGGCAAAATAGTACTTTTACATAAATCTGGTGACAAGCAAGTTTTCAGCAATTACAGGCCCACCTTTCTTACCCC